CCTCTCCTTCGCCTCCGAAAATCTCGCGTCGTGAGGATTCTCGCGACGGAAGGTTCTTCTTTATCTTCGGTTGAGGCTCTTGACAGGCCCCGGGGCCGTCAAACAACGGATCATAATAAAAGGCAGATCCAAGGGAAGTGGTCGAGACTTCTGGAGTCCACGTCGTGAAAGAGTCACCGCATCGTGGTCCTGAATATGTTGTTTCCAACCATACTGTGGTGTTGGGTCCTCGTTTTGAAGAGAGCGCTCTGCTTTTCACCTCCTCTCGGTGCCCCTCCCCCTCCTCCCATCCCTGCCCTTGCCATCCGCATGTCACGTCGCTGTTTCGGCACACCTTTCACACGCTTCGTGGCCCCATAGGGAGCTGCATCGAAGGCCCCCATGAGCACCTTCCACATGTGGCACACCACTCACACGTTTGGTGGCCCTATGGAGACATCCACCGAAGGCCCCAGTCGCACCATCCGCATCTGGCACCCGTTTCTCGGCCGAAAAACTTCGACCCTTGCCCCAAGTACAACGACCAGAAGTCAGTTCAGGATGCGTACCCGTACGTTCTATTACGAGCTTGCGTTGCGCATGACAGCGGCGCGCCCTTCGACGCCCAGTCGGGGGTCAGCAGACCCAGTCCCACTATGTTTCAATCGACAGTGTTTCTTCTTCCTCGCAGCGCACGGGAAGGCGGAGATGCGTGTTAGTTCTCCCCAGACGGGTTCAAGCTTCCCCCCGAGGATCCTGATTCTGTCCGTCCAGTATCCGTACTGCGGGGTGCATGTGCAAGAGTACTTGTTTTTTGAAGCTCGTGGTACCGTACGAATTCCTTGCTTCGCACTACGGATCCTGGGTCTTGTTGGCCCGCTTCTCCATCCATGTTCCTTGCTCTCTCCCTCCACTTGGCGTCCCTCTTCCACCGCTGCTTCTGCTTTCCTCTCTCGCCCGCCCCTCCTCTCCCATCTTCCATCCTCGTTTCGCTCCAGGCCACCCCAATCCAAAGCGCCTCCTGTTCGGCACAAGCCCCCCCCCCGACATGATAAGTACTAGCAACGCCGATTTCGGTACTACTTCGTTGTACTGGGGGCAGGGTCTGAAGTTTCTCATTCAGGTTCCCGCACACCCCTCATACATTCCGTGGCCGCATCGGAAGCTCCACCGCAGGCCTCAGAGGCACTGTCCACACGTGGGCGCCACGCCTGCATCGGCATACCCCTCACGTGTTTCGTGGCCACGTAGGCAGCTCCACCGAGTGCCCCAGAGACATCGTCCACATGTTGGTGCCGCGCCCTCGTCTGCACACCACTCACATGCTTCGTGGCCTCATGGGGCGCTCCACCGAAGGCCGCAGTGGCAGGAATGACATGCGTTGCCACATCCTTGACATGTCTCGAGGCCCCAGGCGGTCCCCCGCCACTCGCCCCTTGCCGCCGACCACGGGGCCCTCAGAACTCGTCCTGGAGAGCCTTCGCAGGGAAGGCCTGCACGATGGTCTTGACCAGCTTCGCCTTCACCGTGACGACCCGCCCGTCACTCGCACATGCACGTGGTTGGGTCACTCGCCCGTTTTTTTTTGTCACTGCCCGCGCTCTCCATCCAGCTCGGCAGCGCCTTTTTTTCCAGGGGGCCAGGGGCAGTCAAGACTTGATCGCGTGGGCGCAGAGCTCCCCCCCCCCCGCCCTCGGGAAGGTGTCGCGAGCCTTCGTGGGGGCCCGCGGATGAAAATATACCGGCGTAACCCCAACATACTGATACTAAATGTGCGTCGCACCCCCAGGGGCGACTCTCGCACTGAGAAATCTTATGATCTATGCGTCGTGGCGGGCGCGTTCTGGCCACACCGTTTGGGTAACGATCTGCTACAAGATGGGTATACTGTATGTTCGGGTCGGGCGCGCGCCTCCAAGGAGGACATATCGTATTACTCTGCCCCTGTGCGTCCCAACAGAAGCCAGGGCGCCCTCGAAGGCGCGACGTGGTTCGCCCTTCGCGCTGCGTCGTTCGGCCTCGGTTCGGGTGCGGCTCCTCCTCTCCCCCGGGTGGGGGGGGCGGCGCGAGAGGGCGCGAAGTTCTCCTCGTGCCTCCCGCGGCGCGAGGTGCGACGTGCGGCGCCCTTTGAGAATCGATCCGTTGGAGGTGCCCTTCAGTCGGGCCTGACCCACGACAGGAGGAATATTCAGAAATGGTAGAAAATTGTTTGGAGACGATTTGTGGACTGTTCTGGAGCATTTTTATATTAGTTTGTAGTTTTTTCATGTGTCGTCCAAAATCCGCCTGTAGGGGGACGTGCCTGACCTTAAGGTACCAGGTGTTCTTACTAGGTCCTATACCTCCGGTCGGACCGAGGTATAAGATCGAGGTCAGTTCGGGGAGGGCACCCTAACGTTTTTCGTGCTTGTTAGATGTTCTCGTGAATCCTGGGAGAGGGTACCCTCGAATGCTTGTTAGTTTGGCCGGCGGAGGATCTCATGTTCTTGACGGATGTTATTGTGTTTTGAGTCCGGCTGTAGGGGATCCAAAATCAATAGACGCCGCGGCATGTATTGTTATACGTTTCCGACATTTCGGGGGCCCCAGGGGCCTATGGAGACTTCCGTAGACCTCAAGGGGATGAGCAGAAGGAAGAGGAGGAGGAGAAGGAGGAGGAGGAGGCGGAAGGGTAAGAGGATAGAGGATCGGGATTGGTTGATGTTTTGCTTACCGGGAGGCCTCTAAGGGTGCCCTCGTGGCCGTGGTTGGGTCCGCTAGCGAACTTCTGGCTGGAACGCAGCCGTGGACATGTCCAGGGGTTGACGTCCGAGGAGTGAGCAGGATGGGCTGAGACCCTGGGAGTCACGACGGCCAGCTTCGCCCCAGTTTTGGCCTCCGGCGGCCGCTTTTGGGCCCCAGGAGTGCCAAGCAGCTTATCCTAGCGAAGTGAACCCCCCCCTCCCCCTCAGAAATCGTGGGGGGTAGGGGTAGGTTCGCATGTGGCCCCCTATTATCCAGAAGACTGGCCGGCCTTGCAGGAGCCCAGAGCAGATCGAGCCGTCGGAAGTTTGGGCGTGCTTGCGTCCGCCACGCAGCCCCGCACTCGGAACCGTGTTGGACGTGTTCGCTGGCTTTACTTCAGGAGGGAAAAAAAACACAGACACAATTAATCGTCGATCCCCAGGAAAATATGGAAAAATATGGGAAGTGGGGGGGGAGACAAACACAGAAAATACGGTCGGACCGAGGTACAAGGTCGAGCTCGGTTCGGGGAGGGTGCCCTAGGGTTCTTCGTGCTTGTTGGATGTTTTTGTACACTCTGGAAGAGGGTACCCTCGAGTTATCTTGTGGCTTGGGGTGTTTGGGCCGGCGGAGGGTCTCATGTTCTTGAAGGATGTTCTTCTGTCCTAGGTCCGACTGTACATGAAAATATTGGGAATCCTGCTATTTGTGGTGTGTATTTATGTGTGTGTCCCAGGGCCCCTTGATTCCTGTCTCTGCACGCCGCCGCCACCTCAGCGCACACAGTCCTGACGAGGCCCCGGAGGTCCGAAGTGTTGACGCGGTTGCGGAAGTCGGCCACGCGCAGAGGGGGGGTAGGCGGGAGGCGGGAAGGTTCTTTGAAGGCACCCTGCTCCTCAGAAGGCGGGCCTCGTCCACAGACGAAGGGCCCGCGCCTTCTAAGAAGCAGCCCCCCTTCTGAGAAGCCTTCCCCCCCCACCCGCCCCAGGGCGCGCGCCGCCAGTGAAAGGGCAACGGCACGAGAGAGCCACGGTTTGAGTTGGGCCTCGCTCCCGAAGCCCAGGCCTCCTGCCGTGGCCCGCCCGAGCTGTGCCCCAGGGCCCCTCGGTGCCCGGAGCTCCGGCGTGCCGTGGCCTTCCCTCGCGGCGTGACCCCCCTCCTCCCCGGAGCTGTTCTGTCGGCGATGGAGGCTCGATCCCGAAGCACAGCTGATGCCGCCCCCCTCCCTGCCTCAGGGCTCGTCTCGACTCCTCCGCTTCGATTCGATTCGGTTTCGATGGCTTCCGATTCCGATCCGATTCGACTTCGGATTCCGATGTGGGCTCCGATTTCTCAGTGGAGGGCTACTAGACTGCCGATTTCCGCCCATTCGACTTTTCTCGACTCGGCTGCCGATTTCCTCTGATCCGATTCGTTTCGATCGCCGATCCGACTGATGGATTCGATTATGTGCTCTCCTGCCACTCTGGATCACATAGAAAAGCTCTGAGGGCCGCGCGGATTCCTCTGATCGTCGCTGGGGCCCTCTGGCGGCGCCTCCGGCGCCGCCCATGGCGCGCTCAGCGCGCCAGGGAGCGGGGTCCAGCGCCGATCCGAAAATCCTGTGCGGACCTCAGAGTATTTTTGTTTGCGTCAATGTTTGTTTCCCTCACTCCTTGGCGTCGACAAAGGGTGGGATCATGCAGGTGTAGCCAGGCTTTGCTCCCACGAGGGTCGGTGTGCTCATTGTCCGTGCCACCCTCCCGACCGGTCGATCGGAGAATCACCGAAGGAGGAGGAGGAGGAGGAGGAGGAGGAGGAGGAGGAGGAGGAGGAGGAGGAGGGGGAGGAGGAGGAGGAAAAGGAGGAGGAGGAGGAGGACGAGGAGGAGGAGGAGGCGGAGGAGGACGAGGACGAGGAGGAGGAGGAGGAGGAGGAGGAGGAGGAGGAGCAGGAGGAGCAGGAGCAGAAGGAGCAGGAGCAGGAGCAGGAGGAGGAGGAGGCGGAGGCGGAGGGGGCACTTCGTGTTTGCGGCCCCGTGCCCCGTGGCCCGCAGCAGCGGCCCCTGGACGCCGGACCCGGCGGGAAGAGGCCCGGCGTGGCTTTTGCTCGCGGCGCTCCTTGACTGCTGGGCGCGGCCACCCGGGTGAGGCTGCGCTCGACGGCGACGACGACGACGGCGGCGAGGACGACGACGGCGGCGAGGACGAGGACGACGACGACGACGACGGACGACGACGACGACGATGACGACGACGACGACGGCGACGACGACGACGGCGACGACGGCGACAGCGAGCCGCACCCCGCACCCGTAGGCGCGGAGAGCGCTCGACGACCCGGAGGGCGCGCCGGCAGACGCCCCACTGCACGGGGACCTGACGAGGCACAAATTCTTCGAGGCACGGCCCTCTCCAGAGTAACAAACAACGTCAGACCTACTCATAAGACCAATTGTAGGCCGATAATCGAGGGGAAAAAACGCCATGCATACAAACTGTTGGCGCTCCGCGCGGATTCCGTGGATTCGCGCTGGGCCCCCTGGCGGCGCGCTCCTCGCGCTTGGGAGGGGGCTTCCAGCGCAGATCCACAACAAATCTGCGCGGAGCGCCAAAAGTTTGTATTATGGCGCTTTTGTCTTCTTCTGGGTAGGGAGGTTAGGGCTGGTGGGACCAACGACGGAACCACCATTGGGACAAGTGTCTCAGTCCATCGAACAACCTCTACAGCCCCCCCTGACGCGGGCCACCCGCCTGACGTCACCCAGACCTCGGTAATACCGAGTTTGGCCCGCGCGGAATGGGCGTGACACCTGGATTCTGGCGACGCGCTTGTCTCGGAATGATGCTCCAGCCTGCGCTTGGCCTACGTCTCAGATTGAAATTGTTGCTGTCGCCTTGGCGTCGGCGGCATCCTTCATTGAGTATGTCATTCTCGCCTTAGCCCCAGCCACATCCCTGATACATTGGCTTACGCCGCATCACCGACCCCTTGAGGCGGCAGTAATCATGAAACATTGAGTTCGCGGAGCGCGCGCGATTGCTGGGGAATCTTTGGGTTTCGGTTTCTTGGGATTTCGTCGGGGACGGTTGGCGGATCACGGCTCTGCTCTTGGTCTTCTTTGGGGCCCGTCTTAGATGGCGTGTGAGGTTCAATTTGGTTTTTTTTAGGGGGTTGGTTTGAAATTGTTCGTAGCCTTGGTCTCTTGGGGCCTCGTGGTTTTTTGAGTTGTTATGAAGTTTGTTGGTCTCTTGGGGGCCTCGTGGGGCCTGTCCCGGGTCTCCCACGTCCTCCCCCCGGATAGGCTCGGGGGTCGTCGAGACCCAGCGGGGGGTGCGTCGTCGTCGTCGTCGTCGTCTTCATCATCGTCGTCGTTGTCGTCGTCGTCGGATGGGGAGGAGGAGGAGGAGGAAGAGGAGGAGGAAGCAGGAAGAAGGAGGAAGGAGGAGGAGGAGGAAGAAGAGGAGGAGGAGGAGGAGGAGGAGGAAGAGGAGGAGCAGGAGGAGGAGGAGGAGGAGGAGTGGGTTTCTCAGAGGCCTGCTGGAAGCACTTGTGACGCCTCTGGTGAGCCGTGTTGGGGCCTCTAGGGGATTCTTTTGAGCCTATCGGGGGCATCTTAGGGCCTCGTGGGGACCTCTTGGTGTCCTCTCGGCGCCTCCTCCGGTTTTCTCGGGGCCGAGTGCTCGAAACCTCCCTCTGAGTTCTCCTCAGACCCTCCTCTTGGGGCCGTCCTGGGACCCTTCTGGGTGGCTTCTGGGGCCCTCTTGGGGCCCTTTTGGGCCGTCTTGGAGCCCTCTTGGGGGCGTCTGGGGCTATCTTGGGTCGATCTTGGAGTCTTCTTGGGCTGTTATGGGCCTCGTGAGCGGCCAAGAGGCGGATGTGCTAAACATACACGTTTTCCACATGGAATGGGGCGATTTGTGCTTCTTAAGGGCCTCTTGGGGCGCCTCCTGGTGGCTTCTTGGGGCGTCTAGGGGGCCTCTGGGGCCGTCTGGAGGCAATTTTGGGCGTCTTGGAGCGATCTCCTGACGAGTCGTAGCCCTCTTGGACCGTCCAGGAGGCCTTCTGGGACCCTCTTGGCTCATGTTGGGGCTCTCTTGGGGCCGTCCTGGTGCCCTCCTGGGCTGTTTTAGTGACTTCTGGGGCCCTATTGGGGTCCTCTGAGGCTGTCTTGGAGCCCTCTTGGGGGCCTCTTGGGCTGTCTTGGGTCGATCTTGAAGGCTTCTTGGGCTGTCGTGGTCCTCGTGGAAGCCCATGGAGGGGCGAATGTGTTGAACAGCTACGTTTCCAACAGAGAATGTGACGTCTTTTGCTTCTTGAGGGCCCCTTGGGACGCCTTTTTGTGGCTTCTTGGGGCGTCTTAGGGGCTTCTGGGGCCGTCTGGAGGCAATCTTGAGCGTCTTCGAGCGATCGCTCGACGGCTCGTAGCCCTCTTGGACCGTCCAGGAGGCCTTCTGGGACCCTCTTGGCCCATTTTGACGCCCTCTTGGGGCCGTCCTGGAGCTTTCCTGGGCCGTTGTGGTGGTTTCTGGCGCCCTCTTGGGGCCCTCTGAGGCTGTCTTGGAGCCCTCTTGGGGGCCTCTTGGGCTGTCTGGGGTCGATATTCGAAGGCTGCTTGGGCCGTTGTGGGCCTCGTGAACGCCCAAGAGGCGAAAGTGCTAAAAACATGCGTTCCGTAGAGAGTGGGACGATGTCTGCTTTCTGAGGGCCTCTGGGGACGCCTCTTTGTGGCTTCTTGGGGCGTCTTAGGGGCCGTCTGGAGGCAATCTTGGGCGTCTGGGAGCGACCTCTCGGCGACTCGCAGCCCTCTGGGACTGTCCGGGAGGCCTTTTGGGACTCTCTTGGCTCTTCCCCTCCCCAAAGCGGCCGGAGCGGGCTGCAAGGCGCGCCGGCGCCAGCGTTGGCGTCGGGGCCCAACGAATCTCGCATCAGTTCTGTGTGTGGCGCCCGAGCGGTGCCGTCGGCGGCTGTGCGAGGGAGTGGCGGGAAGGGCGCGAAGCAAGCGGGCCTCCCATGGAACCCGCAGTGATCCCAAGGGGTCGGCGTATTAAAGATGCTGCTGTTGCCCAGGCGCAGGCGACATAGCCTTCACTGAGCACGTCGTTCTCGCTGTGGCGCCTGTCGCATCATCTCTGGTTGACAATGTTGCTGTCGCCTAGGCGCATTGCCTATGCGTGGGCCACGTGTCTTATTGAACATGTTGCTGTCGCCCAGGCGGCGGCGACATTCTTCATTGAGCGTGTCGTGCTCGCCTTGGCGCCAGCCACATCTTTGATGAAGAGTGTTGCTGTGGCCATGGCGCGAGCGACATCCTTCACTGAGAATGTCGTTCTCGATTGTGCGTGGGCCACATGTCTTGTTGAAAATGGTGTTGTCGCTTAAGCTCGGGCGAAAACCTTCATTGAGCATGTCGTTCTCGTTGTGGCGCCGGCTATATACCTGGTTAGACATGTTGCTTTCGCCTAGGCGCCTGTCGCGCGCATGATTGCGTTTGCTGTTCTCGCCTCAGCACGGGCCACATTCTCGATTCGGATTGTTGCTCTTACATGGTACCGGGTTCAAAACATGATATCGAATCAGGTTATCGCCTATGATTCCGCTTCGGCACCGGCCGCACGTTTGATTGGGAATGCCGGTTTCATTTTGATTATACTTTGTAAGATTGTGCTATCGTTGTGGCGCCCGCCACATGTTGATTGCGAACACCGTGGTCGCCACAGGGGAAGACGCAGCCTTCCAAGCCTGTGGGCTGCGCAAGTTTCCAGATCGCGTCCCCATCCACCACCAGTTTAGCGCAAAGATGCTTCCAGTCATGCGCTGCTCTCGCTGGTACTCCTTTCGCGCAGTGCTGCTGCTTCCCGTCGGGCTTGTCGCAGTGGTGCTCCTGGTGGCGCCTGGTAATGCTACTCGTAATGCTGCGGCTGCCTTTCGTGTTGGTCACGCTGGTGCCGCTGCCCCCCCCCGACGCGACCCCCTCCGCAGCATTCCAGCCCGCCGTGCCCTCGCCTGCTGCAGGGCCTGCCGCGCAGTGCCTCCTCCGCGGCTTCGCCCTGGGGGAGGCGGGTCCCGAGGGAAACGTGCCCGTGGGTTTCTGCCCCACCCACTTCGGGCTCTCGGGGCCCCTCCGCGGGCCCTCCGGGACCGTCCGAGAACAGGGCATGGGCGAACGGCTCGTCCCCGGGGGAGGGGCCCCCGGGTCCCGGGCCCGTTTTCGTCAGGACCAGCTTCCCCCATGGCGAAAGCGCCGCCCGCCCGCCCGCCCCCTTCCCCCCCCCTCCCCTCCGAGAGGCCAGGGGCATGGACATCGTCGGAGGAGGCGGCTGCCTCGCGAGGCGGGCGGCGGCGGCCTCGCGGGGGGGGGGCTTCGTCGACGACGCGCTTCGCGGGCGTGCTCGAGATCTTGGGGGAGGAGCGGGGTGAGTAGCGAGGAGGAGGAGGAGCAGGAGGAGGAGGAGGAGGAGGAGGAGGAGGACTAGAGACTGAGGGGGAGGAGGAGGAGGAGGAGGAGGAGGAGGAGGAGGAGGAGGAGGAGAAAGGAGGAGGAGGAGGCGGCGCGGAGGAGGAGGAGGAGGAGAAGGAGGATGAGGAGGAGGAGGAGGAGGAGGAGAAGGAGGAGGAGGAGGAGGGGGAGGAGGAGGAGGAGGCGGAGGAGGAGGAGGAGGCGGAGGAGGAGGAGGAGGGGAAGATCGGCCTGCGCCTTGCTTCCCGCCGTCCGATTCAGCACGAGCAGGTAATTGCTGACGTGATGCACTTTGGGGGGATGCTCGAGGAGGAGGAGGAGGAGGAGGAGGAGGCGGAGGAGAAGGCGGAGGCGGAGGGGAAGATTGAGGAGGAGGCTACACCTTCGTCGTGGTCGCTGTCAGATCCAGAGGCGGCCTGCGCGGGCGCCGATCCTGGCGTTCGCGGAGGGGGGGGATGAGGAGGACAGCGATGAAGAGGATAGGGAGGGGGAGGGCGAGGAGGAGGAGAGGAGGAGATGTAGCAAGAGGAGGCGGCGGCGGAGGATGAGGAGGAGGCGGAGGAAGAAGAGGCGGAGAAAGAGGAGGCGGAGGCGGAGGCGGAGGAGGAGGAGGAGGAGGAGGAGGAGGATGAGGAGGAGGAGGAGGAGGAGGAGGAGGAGGAGGGGAAGGTTGAAGAGGAGGCTGCACCTTCGCGGCGGTCGCCGCCAAACTCAAGGACGGCCCGCGCGGGCGCCAACCTCGGCGTTCTCGGTTGGAGGACAAGGAGGAAGACAGCGACGAAGATGACATGGAGGGGGAGGCGGAGGAGGCGGAGATGGAGGAGGAAGAGAAGGAAGAGGAGGAGGAGAGGAGGAGGAAGAGGAGGAGCGAGGAGCAGGAGGAGGAGGAGGAGACGGGTGACGGAGGAGGACACGGAGGAGGAGGAGGAGGAGGAGGAGGAAGAAGAGGAGGAGGAGGAGGACGCACGGAGGAGGAGGAGGCATGGAGCAGGGAGTTGGTGGCAGAGACTGGGAAGCACGGAGCAAGGAGGAGCGGAGGAGGGGGAGGGTTCGGAGGGGGCATTGGCTGGCGAGGTGGAAGGGGGGTGGGCAGCAGGGAATTGGGAGAAGTGGAGTGTGGGGCGAATAGGAGAAGATGGATGTGGATGGAAAGGTTGGACGCGGATGATGACGGTGATGGTGAAGGTGGTGATGCTCTTCAGGATGATGACGAGGGTGGTGATTATGATGTTGATGCTGATCATGCTGATGATGGTGATGGTGTTGATGATGGTGATGATGCGATTGATGATGATGCTGATGATAGCGGTGATTCGGCTATTGATGTTAATGGTGGTTGTACTGCTACTGATGATGGTGATCGTGGTGACGATGGCAAAGACGATGCTGTTGCTGCTGATGATGCTGATTCTGGTGATGGTGGTGCTGATGATGATGGTGGTGATGGTGATGGCAGTGTTGATGATGATGTTGGTGATGCGGCTGATGCTGCTGATGATGGTAGTGATGCAGATGATGATGACGATGCTGATGCTGATGATGATAATGATGGTGGTGATAATGCTGATGACGTTGATGGTGATAGTGGTGGTGGGGGGGGTGATCGTGGGGGTGCTGATGGTGATGGTGATGATGATGATGCTGATGATACGTAATGATGATGCTGCTGCTGCTGATGATGATGATGATGATGATGATGATGATGGTGGCGGTGATGATGCTGATGACGGGACGGTTTGGTCGCGATGGTGGTACCGTGACGATTGTGATTTGTGACGATATTGTCGGCCATCGTGGCGGCAATATTGATGATGCTGGAGGTTGTGATGGCGATCGTGGTGCTGTGGCTGATAATGATGACGACGATGGATACTATGATGGTACGGACTCTGGCGGCCAAGAGGAAGACGAGGAGGTGGCAACCCATAACATGACGACGCCACTGATGCTGCTGGTGAGGATACTTATGGTATCAGCCACGGTGAACGCAATTGTGGAGATGAAGGGGGCATGGGGGAAAATACGGGGGAGGATGGAGGAAGGATACGCGACGCATGACGACGGATATGCAGTAGGCACAGAGGCAGAGGGCAGCGGTTGCCCGGGGGGCACGGGGGAGGATGAGGACTCTCGTTGCCGCGTGGATCAGCGCCGGGTCCCGCTTCCCTACGAACATCGGCGCGCTCCATCGGCACATCTGGTGGCTCTGGCAGATCCACGGGTCCGTATTCCATGTTAGCGTGTGCCCGACAGGAGCCCCCCCAAAGGATCGGGCCGGTCGACGAGGAGGTGGAGGAGGGGGAGTAGGAAGAGGAGGGCGAGGAGAGGGAGGAAGAGGAGGAGGACTAGTGTAAACCGAAGACACGTCAACGATGTTGCAATACACCCTCCCTCCAAGCTCCCTTCGTAGGCCCCTGCAGTATTTGTCGTCGCAAATGGAAGTGCTGCCCCGTTGGAAGACAACCGTTTGAAATTCTTTACGTTTTGCGCATCCCCAGCAGCACACCCAGAAACAATTTCCAGGGGCGGTGCTAAAATCTGAGCAGTGTAGAAACATGCAGTGGCACAGTTGCCTTGGAAGCGTGCGGGGGTGACAGAAGCGGTGGGAACATTAGTTGAATGATTGAACGCACGTTCTCATGCCGCGCTGTGTGTTATCGGGATTTCATTGTGGATTTCCTGGAAGCGTTACGGCGTGGCAGAAACGGCGAGAATATGTGTCGGATAACTTAACACATGTTCCCAGAATGCGGCGGCTTCATGGGGGTCATCCAGGGGCCTTCGTGGAGTTATGTTGGGACTTTCTTGGAGTCCCCGTGGGGCATCTGGGGGCACTGTTGGAGCCCTCTTGGGGCTTTTTGGGGGTGTCTAGGGGCTCTCTTGGGGCTCTTTGGGGCAAGTCTGGGAAGCCTCTAGGGCTTGTCTTGGGGCCCCCATGGCTCACAAAGAGGGGGGGGGGGAATCCAGGCCCCCACTCGGAGGCTCAACAATTGCGTCTTGGGTTCCTCTTGAGCCGGTTTCGGAGCGGGCCCTCTTGGGTCCCTCTCGGGACCCTCTGCGGTTGTTTTGGAGCCATCTTGAGGAATCCGAAGCCCATCGGAAGCGAAAAGGCGCGAACGTAAATAACATTGATTTAGCGTAGGTTTTTGGAGCTACGTTTGTATCTAGGGGATGTCCTTGGAGGACTCGAAGGGCACTACAAACCGTCTTGGGGCCGTTTTGAGGCCTCTTGGATGTGTGTCGGAGGCTATCTTGACCAATTTTGAGCTATCTTTTGCATAATCTTGGAGGCCAGCTTACGCTCTCAGCGGCCCTCATGGAGCCATCTTGGGCCATCTCCTCTTCGGTGTTGTAACCCCTCGGCCCCCCCCTCCCAGGCCCAGGGGAGGGGTAGGGGAGGGGTCGAGGCCCCCCCAAGACCGCAAGCCGTCTCGCTCACTCCCACACGCCCTCCCACATCGCCGAGGAGCGCCACGCATGCCATGTGCGCCACGGGTTCAGGTGCACCAGGCGCCCTGGAGGCCCAAGCGTGCGAGGCGCGGCAAGTGCGGAACGTGCTCCCCGAGCGCCAAGTGCGCCACGTGCTCCAGCCGCGCCAGGTGCGCCACGTGCTCGGCGCGCGCAGTGCGTGCGAGGTGCGCCATTACACAGCCGTCACCGGGGGTATTCTGCATTGTTTTTTGAAAGGGATGGTTGGCTTGCGCGCATTCAGCAACATGCCGGCACCGTCGCCATCCCCAGTGAAAACCAAGGCAGAGGGATCGCGGGGCGCACGCCGAGTGGTCGCGGGGCGCCCGCGCATGCTCCGGATTGGGAGGCAGCTTGCACTCTGTATTGTTTTCTGACACGGACGGCTTGTTTGCGCGCAGGGTGTGCGCAGCAGACAACACGCGGGCCCCCCCGCAGTCCCTGCCAAAAAGACCAGTGCAGAGTGGTCGCGCGGAGCCCGCGCACGCTCGAGGTTTGGCGGCAGAGTGCAGTCTGTAGTGTTTCTTGCCAGGGCTGGTGGGTGGGTGTTGGCATGCCCCGGTTTGGCTCAAAGTCGGGTGGGGGAGGGGGCGGTTACTGATGAGGAGCAGTGATGAACGATTTCCCCGAGCAGGATCTAGAGGGGCTGTGGGAAGAGAGAGGGCACGAGTTTGTCAAATCACCTACGCCCAGATGGCTGGGGGGACTTCTGAGCCGTGCCGAAACATTCCGGGGACTTCAACGCCGCGAGTCAACGTTACTGTTGCGTTATGATGATCTTGAATCGTGCCAGAACACCATCCCTGAGACTTCACAACACCGCGAATCAACGTGACCGTGGCGCCCTGGCAGTCCTACTAAACACCATGTTTGGGATGTCAACCAGAATAATAGTGCAAACGGTTGAAAGCTCTTATGACGGATGTGCGCAGCGCTAAAGCGAGGGCCACATTTTGAAGAGAAGCAGCTTTTCATCCGTGAAGCTCTTGCCAACTTTTAAGACGAAAGCGCGCGGCGCTAAGGCGAGGTCCAATGTTTGAAAAGGAGCCGCCCTCCATGTGTGAAAGCAATGACGCGTATGCGCGGCGCTACGGCGAGAGCCAAATTTTGAAAACGGCCAGCCCTCCATCCGTGAAAAAACCGGCAATGTTTTAAGACGAGTGTGCGCGGCGCTGAGGCGAATGCCATATTGTGAAAATGGCGTGGCCTCCATCCGTGAAAACCTTGCAAACTCTAAGACGAATGTGCGCGGCGCTAGGGCGAGAGCCACATTTTGAGAGCAGATCGCCCTCCACCGGTGGAAATCTTGCAACTTTCAAGCTCAAAGGTAATATAAGGTGACATGGTCTCACGCGAAACGTCCAGCCCGCCCGACCGACACGCCTCAGAGTGCGACAGGAAGGA